TGATATGCCGATCGAACGGGCTACTACTATCGGAGTCAGACCAGCGTCGGAGCTTTCTCAAACGGGACAAGCAAAATCTTGATATCAACGCTTGCCAGGATATCATTGATGAGTACTATGGAGATGGAGACGATGATGGAATTATCATTTCGATGTAGTTACATAAAGTCTAAGGAAGATGGTATTCTCTATAAGCAGTATGACGAGAAGCCAGCGGCCTCTACTAAGGACGATAGGAAGGGAGCTCTCGAGGTGAGGGACGAGGCAGTACGGGAAGGGTAGCGGGTCGACAGGTTACTCGGGAAATGATAAGCCGACCGGAGGAAGAGGAGAAGTCCGTATTGGTGCCCGTTAAGGAGCGACGGAAGAGCGATGATTGGGACTGTGAGTCTGTCCTCAGTACTCTCACGAACAACACTAACCACCCCGGGAAGATCGTAATAAAGTCGGGAGGCACACATTTCATCTTGAGCTACTAGATTGATAATAAAATTCACCGAGAGAGCTTGGTCGGTGAACATTTCGTGAAACAACTTTCAGAATCGGCCGACCCGCATCCGTAAACCGGCGATGATCCCGGCGCCGGCGTTGGCTACTGTAGAGGAGTATGAAGAAGACGAGGAGCTCTCTGAAGATGATGAGGAAGAGCTCGTTGAGGTAACATGTGAGCACGGTTCAGCTGTGTAGCAATCGGTCTCTCCTTGACGTGGCGGTAGACAGCTTCCAATCGAGTAAATGCTGTTGGTGGCCGCAACGAGAGTCTGCAATGTATGCCATTTTGCCGATTTACCTCGTTTTCTCTATTCGTTGAGCTCTAGAGCGAGTTTTGTGATTTTTTCGAATTGTTGCTCTCGTTGGTTTAGGTGTCCACATATCGTCCACGTGATGAGACTCCTGAGGAGAAGCGGGCTCGTAAAGCTGCTGTTAAGCAGTTGCAACGCGAGGCGAGGAAGGCTAAGAAAGAAACTAAGGCTACCTTCAAGCTTGAGAAGCTGGTAGGAGTCGCAGCCTCAGTTGGATCATGTTATTATTATCGGTGTCCATTGTCAGAGCTGCCAACGTAGAGGTAACGCTGCAGACATCCGTGATGGCGTCGCGAGGGTGAAGCTTTGATCGTCTGTACAATTTCTATGTTTACTACGAATCTCTACTGAACCTTTCCTAACGTTTCTTCGAATGTGATTGGTGTGGTGTTGTCGAGTGAGTCTTCCGATAACGAGGGTAGCCAAGGAGAACTTGACAACCGTCAAAGGCATGAGATTTCTTGTGCTGATGTAGAAGAATTCACGTGGGCGATTCAATCCCACAGTACTGAATTCAGTGTGTGTGTGTGGGTGAGTTTAAAGTCTAACACCGACAACACGGCTTAGTTAGACTCGCGTCGATGCACATTGGCTCTCGAGGGATTAGTTTTGGCCTTTTAAATTGTCCACTTTCATCCTGTTAATGGGTTTGGTCCACAGGGCGAGATAACCTCTGCCAATGTGCTTGAATCGAACTGAATTGAATCACATCATATGCTACTCAGGGCTAGCGGGGGCCTGCTTTATAGATAGAGGTTCGTTGTTAGTTGGGGTCCTCAGTCAGGCTCGAACTAGTCCCGAACTGAGTCCGATGCACTATTTAGTGAGGATAATGCCTAATAATTAGGTGGAGAATAATTCGAGATATTGGTTGCGTGGCAGGAGGGTAAAAGTCTTTTACTAAAAGAACATTTTTTATTTTAAGCCATTTTAGCTTAGTGGTAGAGCTTCTGCTTCGTAAGCAGTTAGTCGTCAGTCCAATCCTGGGCGAGCGGTTTATACCTATATTATCTGTTTTAGACATGTAGAACTAAAGCGTGTTAGGTAGAATAGATGTAGGTTACCCGCGTACAGAAATATATTTATGACATATGGGGGACTAGCTCAAATGGTAGAGCGCTCGCTTAGCAAGCGAGAGGCACCGGGATCGATGCCCGGGTTCTCCATTTTTATCTGTCATAATCTTCTCGTACTATCTCAGTATTCTGATGTCGTCCCATGTGTACAGTAGTTATATATGTTTCGGCATGTACTACGCCGCCCATCCCCTCTCGTAGCCTAAGACTACTAGTCTGCATGAGTGTAGGATACGTCTATCACTCTGATCAACGGCGCGACAAGTCTCATCCATCAGAAACAATTTCTAGACTCCTCCTTCTCCATGAGAATCGTGGGTGGGCTCTCCACGCATGATCTCATCGAGTGGCAACGTCATTGCGACCAACTGCATAATTCCCATGTCTGCATTGACTCGAATCGGACACGGCATGTATGCAATCACTCCGCGCGACTCTTTCCGACGGAAACGACGATTTCTCCTGAAACCACGAGCTGAGCGATCAACCACCCGTATTGGAGAAAATGAAACACAAGCAAGCTCCCACTTCTCCTGGGCTAGCCTATCCTTTTCCATATCTTTCTCAATTCGAAGTGCAGCTTTCAAAAATCGATCCATAGGATA